GTTTAGGGTTAAGAGTTTAGGATTTGGGGCTTTTTCATCACAGAGTCTTGGGTTGGAACCGTAAGTTACGGGTCCATGTACCCAATAATTGGGTACTTGGGATTTTGGTCCTAGTCATCATAGTACAGGTGTTGGGAAAGCATGGGAACTTGGACCCTTTGGGCTAAGCTTGTACCACTAGAAGGGTACGCCAACATACCTCCCACTATACACCCAACATGAGCCGTAGTGAAAACTCCTAGTATCCGCCTTGATAACCCCTATAATGCGCCCTTATATAGCCCCCTATATAACCCCTTTAAGGAGTTTAGACCCAAAACCCTAAACCCTAAATCCTAAATCCTAAACCATAAACCCCTTTAAAACCCCGGAGTGTAGACTATAGCTCTAATATGCACCCAATATTCTGTATTCCCTGAGGGGTTCCCAGGCCCCGGGTGGCAAACCTAAAAGGTCGACTTTAACCAAAGGCCCAGGGATGTTAGGGTTTAGAGGTTTAGGGTTGAGGGGTTTAGGAGTTTCGGGTCTAGGGGTTTGCAGGTTTAGGATGGTTTAGGGTTTAGGGGTTTGGGCTTTTGGGATTTAGGGGTGTTATGCTTACAGACGTGTATGCCGGAGGAGAGGGTCGGATATTCAGGGATTGGATTTAGGGATTGCTCGCTTTTCGGCTGAGAAAAGGTGGCTCAGAACCCTGAATCATAAACACTGGTTGTGAAAGCAGCAGAAGTACTGATAGCTTTTCTTACCAATTTCAACAGACGTGACCCACTGACAACCCATATCAGCTTTCCTTCTTCAACGCTCACATGAATGTTTCCAAAACTAGCGGCCTTTTTTGGTGAGTCCGTATAATAGGAACTGTGTTTGAGGGCCATTTCCGAAACTACGACACACACCCTAAAACTCAGTTCCTCTCCGGGTATGCAAGAAATTATCAGCCCAGTTCAATAATACCTAAGAAAACATGCTGAATCCCAAGCTGCAAGAACTTCGCCCCTCAAACGCTAGATGTCCGCAAACCCTAGACACTCAAACCATGCACTTTGTGATGCTCCAACCGTCCCAGTCGCCGGCATCAAGTCAAATTGTAAGCCACCTACGAAGGCAATCACCGGCTGCATGGACAGAGAATATGTCACCTGCGTTATAGGTTTAGGGTTTAGGTTAGGTCCAGACAAAAAAGCTTAGGATCTCAGTTATGGGGAATGTTGGGCTTGAGTTTCAGGCTTAGGGGCTCTGCGGCTTTAGGGTAAGGGACCATGCTTCCGCAAGACAAGGACAACACAAAAGGGCTTTGCTGGGGCAGCCTGGGGAAACAAGCCCCACTCTTCAGTACAGATACGGCTGTCACAACACTATCCCCCCGCGGCTTAGTCGGGAATACTGTAGGGGAATAGGGGAATCGGGGAATGAGTCACAGGGACCGCTATAGGGGTGTCAACAAATGACCCTACTTCAGGTGCAACCCTGGAAGGGTGGCAAGGGAAGCCAGGACCTGTATAGCCAAGCCACAGTGACGCACTTCTCAAGTGGCACCTCCCAACTGTAGAAAGTGTAGCCCTGCCACTTGTCCCAATTCTTCTTCATCCTTGGACGTGTGTTGAGAAACACAAGTAAGGGTTATATAGGGTTCTATAGGGGTTATATTGGGAGAATGGAAAAGAAAATGGAAACTACTATGCTAGGATGACCGCAAACCCTCAACCCTAAACCCTAAGCCCTAAACCTAACCGGGCTATAGTTCGCTGCCCACCCTAACACGGAAACCTTGAACCCCATTATGTCCTTCTAGAAGCCATGTGACCTCGCACACGGACCGGAACATTTTTGAAAACCCAAAAGCACGCCATTGCAAACCCATCCTCTGGGTTAAGCTTGCATGAGAAGGGGTCAAGGTGTAGGAGTTTTTGGAGTTGTAATTTAAGAATTAAGGTTCAAGCATGAGGGTCTAGGGTTTATAGCCAGACTTGCTCGTTTTTAGTAGAGAATGAAGGAATGGAAAATGGCATGGAAGCCTGGCATTGAGGATCCAACAGGGCTACCATACTGTTCTCCCTACTAGCGAAACGTAAGAGTACCCAACTACGAAATTTATCATACACTTCCAACCAGGCCTCCGGCACCCTCTAGGAATCTGGCGTTCTCACTCGTTTTGTACCTTCTAATGGAACAAGGGGAGTACCCTTAATGGCCCCTGATAGCGGGCACGTAGGTCCCAATAGCGGGTAGGTGGAAGGCCTAGGTCCTTACCTTGAACCTTAAGCTCTGCCAAGCCTTGACACTCCACACCCAAGCAGCAGCGTCCCAGATCGTAACAAAGATTCAGGGCTTAGGGTCAAGACATGTGAACGTTCCATATGGGAGATTCTCAAAACAAGTCCTATATCGTGCCCGAAATGCCCCATATATCCTGAGGGTCTCAGTGAAACTTGTGCTAGGGGACATCCCTACACTGCAATACGCCCTAAACTCCTAAACCCCAAGCCATTAACCCTAACCGCGTGGCTCCAAGCCCCCCCCAATGGCGCTAAAAAGCTTTGATCCTAGCGTCCAAACTTGGCTGCAGGGAACAGCCCATGGTTCCAGCTTGATGAAATCCTCTTCTTTCCCGACCTGTTGCGGTTGAGAGCTGCTTAGAGGCTTTTAGGCTTGCCATGCGCTCCCGATAGTCTTGCTGTACAGTTGGAAAAGAAATGGTTGGCGCGTTGGCGCAATCATCAGGCTACTGCCGTATTCTTGGTCTTTCTGTGATAATCGAGCTACTCCCTTAATGTCCCTAGAAGATTCTTGTGGGGTATGGTCCAGGTGGTGGTTGTGAAAGATGAGGGCTTGTTTGGAGACTAATTCAAACCAGTATTTTGCTGGATGACCCCTGGATTTGGTTTTAGAGAAGCGTATCCTATCTTTGTAACTTGGGGAAAAAAACTACATGGTGTAAAGGTTGAGCTGGCGGAGTGGTCATGGACTTTATCAGCAATTTAAACTGCTGAGACAGAATATGTTGTGATGGTAAGACCGGCCTTTGGGCGGCCTTCCACACCCTGAAACTGGAAATTCTGGAATAAAACGATGCCTTGATCTTCAGAGCCCTGCGGAGTAGTCTGAAATAGTGCCCTTCCACGTACGGAAGTGTTGCTTATCCAACGGACAGGTGTCCAGGGCGTACAGTAGAGCAGGAACTATAGATGTGTGAAAAATTCGGGATTTCATGCGCCATGGGAGCTTACTGCACCATACGTGATGAAGTTTGGAGAAGCTGGCGTTTGCGAGATCGACTCTGTGTTTAAGGGCTGTTTTTGGCGGAGTAGTCCAGGAAATCAAGGTTCCTAAATATTTAGATTCCAGGGTGGTAGGTACTGGGTCTCCGCTTATGATTTGAGTAATGACCTTTTACTGTCGTGTTTTTTGTCAGGATGCACGACTCCGCTGAGGGCAGCAATGTCGAAATTTCGTATCCACCTTTCTGCAGGCGCCATGATGTCCGAGAGAACGTCAGAGAAGCTGGCGCGGAGGTGTTGCCTTTCCTCGTAGAATCCGCGAGTGACCGTGCCGCTCATCCTGAGAACAGCAGCCAGTTTCACAGATTGGTATGCTATGCTGGCACGCCTATGCACATAGCAAGTCCAGCAGGCTACCACGTAGTTGCCCGCAGGAAGAGGCGAGGCCTCCACGGTCGTGTGAGCGAGATCTCGAAGCAGGAGTCTTCATAGGGGGAGGACTTTTACGCTTAACCTTGATAGAGGTCTCCAGTAGATAATGATCGCTGGGGAAGCCCGCTGTCGTGTTTGAAGAGATTTTCTGAATAGATGGCAACCATTTTGAGCGTGTGACTAGTCTATCTTGCTTAGAGGCTTAGGGAACTTAGGTTCTAAGTGGGGTATAGTGGGGTTAGAAGCTACTTACTAAAACCTCTCAGCCTTCCAGTAGGGGTTGAGGGCTCAGAGTCTAGGGTCTACAGGGCTTACGGCTCAGCATTTGGTGATTGAGGTTGGGAATTTCGGGCTTTGGGCTGAAGGCTCAGGAGTTTTCAGGCTCGAGGGCTTGTGGCTGAAAGTTGGGTATTGCTTTTTAGGGCTTAAGGCTCTGGATTGCCTTGCAACCTGATCTTACTGGTTCTGAGTAAGGAATAAGGGAATATGATCCCTAGATAATCCCCAGATAACATATTTTCTTATTCCCTTCTAAACCTAAACCCTAAATAGTACCCTTTATAATCCCCAAATTTTCCTTTATTCCTCACTAACCTAAACCCTACACCGTAAGGGACAGGGTCTGGCACAACGAAAGCTAACATCTGAGTTGAGGCTGGGTGAGGGCTGTATATTCTGGGTTTGGGGTCAGGGTTTGCCCAGCCAACGTTTGGGGCACATCTAGGAAGCTTCGCAGATTTTTTTCAATTCCGCTGCTGTAATTCTTCTCTTCTGCCGAGCTGATGGGGCCCAAGTCCTAAGTGACCTTTGTAAAGTCTAGCACATTTCTTTGTGGCCACGAGGCCTCGCAAGACCCTAAACCCTAATTCCTAATCCGACATCTCATTTTTGCCGGCCCACCACCACCACCCCTCACTACCGCCTTGGGCTAACTCAAGACTGTCATTGATTAGCCCTGAGCTTCCCGCAACTTAGCTTAACTCAGGGGGAACTCAAACGAGAGCAGCGTTGGGGGTAGTAGGGCCGTAGGGGCCCATAAGCCCTAAACAACAAACACCCTGAACCCTAAACCCTAAACACATGGACCTCAGAATCCTCCACATGGAGCCCTGATCCCGGCAACCATCTAAGGTCCCAAGCATGGGGCTAGTCTGGGTCATTGATCCTAGGGTTTAGGGGTTTAGGGTTTAGGCTTTGGAGTTTAGGCTTTAGGGTTTAGGGTTTATGCTTTAGGGTTTAGGCTTTAGTTTTTTTTTTGTAGGGTTTAGGCTTTAGGGTATAGGCTTTTTGGTTTAGGACTATATTTCCTACAAACCCCTACAAACACAATTAAGGGCCCATAGTTAGGGCCCAGGAAACAAGTAGGGGTGTAGGTGCCTTATGTAGTCTGGTAAGGGACCGGGAAGCTTCCGTACGCGGATATTCCCAGAAAACGGGAATCTTTATTCTAGAGGGCCCAAAGGGTACCTCTGATCTCGACAATTTGACGCCAAAACAAGGCATGGCCCCTTCTCCCAGATCGAATTAAGAAGAATAGATTCTATGCTAAGGCAGGGCGTCTGAATCCTGCATCCTGAGTCCCCACTCCGAGAGCCCTACATGAACCTATGCAGAGGCTCAGGGATCTTAGTAGGTAGGTTGACAGTGGGGATGCAAGCAAACATTAGACTACTTGTAGCCCCATAAATAATCCACTTGCTAAGTCCTGTGAGCCAGTAGGCATGTGCATCACGTGGCATGAGCGGTATGTATATTGTAATGTTATCAAGAACTATAAGATGCTCCCTAATTATTGTTACCTGGTGTTTTCCCTATCCCCTAAACCCGAAGTCCTAAATCCTAAGCCCTAAGCAGTATAGACCCTAGACCCAAAGCTTGCAGGCGGTCCTGCCAGTCCTGCTTTGTCGCCTGGTTGTTCGTGCCCGTCCTTAATTGAGCACTTGGTTGGGTGGTGGAACCGAGTAAGAAGATCTTCTTCTTGCAAAATACTATATGCCAAAAGAGAACTGATATGGTCTGTAGTATCCCCAAATCATCATGCTACTCAAATGTGCTTGGGTTTTCTGATGCTGGGGCGAAGAGTCTTGGCTATGGCTCAGGGCTACGTAGACCTCCTATGGCATTGTTTCCACTTTTTCTGGATTTTTGCACCTGAATCTATTCTTCCCTAGTGGCAGGTCCAAAACATGAGTTCTTGGTAGGACTTAGGATGTTACATTCAAGGTTCTAGCTATAGGATGTTGGGGTTCGGGGGATGTAGCTGTAGGCTTTGGGGTGGAGGGTACGGGTTCTGGGATTGCGGTTGCCCAGAACTAATATCAAATGTATGAGAAGTTCCTACAACAGCTCAGATCTAAACCCTGAACGGAAGAGAATTGTGTGTGTACAGCTCTCTGTGAGTACGCCCCTTATGGCCCTAGGGTAAGCCGAAGTTTGTCGGACCCACAAAAGCTTAGTCGAAGGTAGCCTAACCCCAGAAAGTTCCCCAAACCCCCAGAAACGGTTCTGCGAACAGGTTACCTCCCCGAAGGGTTCTACAACCCCGCGAAGGTTCCGCAAACCCCCACAAACCTCGAGAACCCCTTGGCAACGTTCTGCGAACGCTGGTGGTATAGACTCTGAGGTGACCCTCGGTGACGTGTACACAGATGTTTTGCCCTGACTAAATCCTGAATACAGGAATGTGCGCTTGTGTGGAAACATTATCACGGAGTCTAGTCTCTAGTTGACATCTTATCGTTGTTTTATTCCTTATCGTTATACAGCGAATGCTCCTTAATCCATGTGCTAACCCTGCAAATATAAAACCTTAGCGTTCTTTTTTCATTCCTGATTGCTTTACAGAGAATCTGCACAACAGGGCCGCCCTTACTGGAATTTCTACAATGGGGTTTTGTAACCAAGCCCATATGGTTATAGTTCACGAGTCGAAAAAATACCCCGTTCATAAATT